ACAAACTGTGAGCTAAATAAACCTTTCTTCCCTTAATTTTAGGCATCAGGTGTTTTGTCTCAGCAACAAGAGAAAAGTAGCTGAGACAGCTGAAGTTTTAATCCCCTTTGAGTTGCCATCTGTATACGGTGTGAGGGAGGGGCTCGATTTCTTTCTTCTGTATACTGATATCTAATCTGCCCACCTGCATTTGTTGAGGAATCTATCCTTTTCCACTGTATTCCCCTCATCAGAAATCAGGTGGCCACATATGCACAGGTTTATTTCTTTGCTCTATTCAGTTTGATTGGTCTATACTTGTCTTTATATCACTATCATACTGTTTTCATTATTGTAGATTTTATATTTTGAAATCAGCAAGTCTACAACGTAGATGAACCTGAAAGACATTATACTACCTGAAATAAGTCTCCTATAAATAACTCCCATAAATAACTCTCCTCTCTCTTGGGAAGCTGAGGCAGGAGGATCGTTGTGAGTTCGAGACCAGACCAAGAACAAATACAGTAGAAATTTATATGTAGTATCTAGAACAGTAGACCGTCCAACTCAGTTGGGCGTGGCATGTTCTTCTAATCCCAGCACTCTGGGAGGTGGAAACAGGAGGATAGCAAGCTCAAGCAAGCCTGGACAGCTTAGTTACTTACTGAGACCCTGCTCTTTCATAAAAAGTCAAAATTATAGAAGCAGAAACTATCATAGTGGCTGCCAGGGCGGGGAGCATGGGGGAAGTGGAGAGTTGTACAACTGATGTACAGTGTCACTTGTGCTGGATAAACAAGTGCCAGAGATCTGCTGTATCACACAGTGCCTGTGGTTCACAGGGCGGCGTTGCACACTTATTGTGAAGAGGGCAGTTCTCATGCTAAGCGTTCTGACATGGAAATGAGCAAAGAGACACACAGGAAACTTTGGGAGCCATCAGGGATGTTCGCTACCTCAGTGGTTGTGATGGGATCACAGGTGTGTGCCCTGTGTGCACACTCACTGAACTGTATATGTAAAAGTGTGCAGAGCTTA